TTATCATGTGTTCACTTCGCGATCTCGAAGAAACACGTACTTTTGAACCGCTCTAAGCCGTTTCAGTTCAATTTCTAGTTGAACTTCAGTTGTAAAACGACTGGGAATGCACAACTCGTTTGCTCTTGAGTTCTATGCTAATGCACGTTGTATCCATGTCAGAATCGAGTGCTTTCTTACTGTGATTTTCTTGTTTTAGACGGTTCTGCAAACTACTGATCAGTCTGTTGTGTTCAACACCGTGCGACAGCTGCCGGTTAACAACGTCTTCCCATTCCTGCGAGAAATCGCCTCTAGACTTAAGCACGAAAAGGAGTAAGTGTATTTTTGAAAGATTTTCTTGAAAATCGACTATGCTTGTTTGACTCTAGCTATGCGTAACCAATTATTGTTCTTCTCTAGTAATTTTGAATATTTCTCTTGTTTTCGAATTTTATGCTTGCCTGCGTTAAGTCGAAACCTTTCAGCGTTGGCACTAGTCTCCTTTAAAGCTTCGTTCTGTCCATTCTCCTGTTTGTATTGTTTATCGATAGGATAGGCCGGAGCAGCCAAGGCGACGAGTTTTTCAGTATATGAAATTTGGAGACAAGAAGGTCGCTGTTTTCAGATGACCTTGTTTTATTCGCATCTTGTGAAACTGATCTACCAGGCTCTATGGAAAAGTTCGTAACCGAGTGTGAGTTTGAGGGCATACACGTGGACGTATCTAAAACTAAAAATAATGCTTTTTCATTCTACTGCTTGTTGTGCTCTAAAGGTAAATCGGGTGAATGAACGGACAGATGAAGCAATTCACGTACTTCCTAGTTGTGTTTACTTGTAATGGAAAATGATGGGAAGTGTTCAACGGCGGCGAATTGGAATCGCCAGGGGTATTCGCAGTGAAGTGTCTCTCATCGCTGTGATTAAAGCGGAATTGACGACTGAGCAGATTGTGTTGAAGTCGATTTTCAACCCAATGGTCATCACCTATTATCATCATTCGTGAGCCATGAATGACAAACTTCGATTCTCTGTGAAAGCGGCTAAAATCGGCTTCCTGAAACTAATCACTGGGCATGGTTCATAGTAGAGCTTCGCTGCGATCACTGATTCCACTACTCCACTTTTAGAAGTCGTAGCTATGAATGTTTTCAGAAAGAAAGCTGAAACAGCTACTGCTTGCCTAACCGACCGGCCGAAGATTTAGGGATGACTAAGAATAACTTTGGACAGGAGTCTCGAGTGGCCTGCTGTAGGTTTGGGTTATCTTATGCTGAAACTTAATCGTTGACTCAAAATCAGGAACGTTGTGACACTGTTTGACGCGTCTACCTTCGCGACCCAAAAGGATCTGTGCGATCATTGAAACTCACTGAGGGAAATTAAATTTGTTTACAGCTTTTACTGACTTTTACTAAGCTATTATAATGGTCAAGACGAACTGCAATCGTCCTTCAGGCGCGCGCTTCACACAGTACTCTCCTATGGTATTCGCAGAAATCGAACAGACCGAAATT